GTGGACTCAATTTGCACTATTTCTGTCAGTCTGCAAAGGCCCCTTATCTTGTAGGATTGCTGGGAGGACAGCGAGGAGGAGGATCAGGTGGAGGAGTGATATGCCACCTTGAGCTTCTTAGGGAAAACGCAGGATACAAAAATAGTAAATTTAATCTGAAGCCAAGCACCATGGGCTAGGATGCTAACTCTATCTGTTATTGCAAGCACAGTGACTTATCATCCAATCCTTTTTCATCTAGTCAGGACTTACAGGTTCCTCTCTGCCTGCCCATGACAGAAACTGAGCCCATGACACCAGACTTATCAAAGTTGTAGTCTACTACATGTAAGTCATGCTACATTTTCGGTAATTACACGAACACAACTGACAACAATTTTGGTTGTCATCACAGGAATGTCAGCCCTCAAAACTAAATACCATTTGACAAAGTAAAAAGGTTAAATCTTATTACTAGTCCACAACTACAGCAGTCACACTGAATGAACATCAACACGTACCTAGGCCCCACTGATTCAGTGTGCTTACTCTGGCTAGGGCTAATAATTGAATTTAGCCCATAATCTTCAGGTGGGAATCATTCATGGGGACACAGTAATTGGCCGTGATTGCCAAAAATTCACAAAAACAACTAGACCTTTCAAAAACCCAACTCCACCCATGTTGGATTGTTCCAGTCCCATAAGAGAGACTGGAATTCTTTTCTCTCTCCTCTACCTCCTTTGTATCACCTCTTGCCCCTGGAAAGGCAGAGGAGCTCTTACTCAAAATTGACAGCCCCTACTACTAATTTCCCTGAATTTAATTCCCCTATAGCCTTCTTTTTTTTAATAAAAAAGTAAGGAGGGTACAACATAAAGGGTGCTGCATCTGCATTGCATCTGTACCAGGTACTCCAGCCCTGAATTACACAGACGCAACTTAGAGAGAATTTATGACAAATCATCCATTTGTCACTACATCAAGCGAGGACTTTACTATATAAAAAACCATCTCAGGTCAGACACCATGGACAGTGCTTTTACAATCCCTCACAGTTTCAAACACCGTGTTTCTCACAGGACTTATCCAAGAGACTTGTTTTTGACTTGTATTCCACTTGATGTGGTTATTGTTATGTGCCTTCAACTGATGGTGACTCTGTCCTAGGTCTTTTCTTGGAAAGATTTTGTCAGAGGGGGTTTGCCATTGTCTTCCTCTTCAGAGAGTGTGAGTTTCCCAGGATCACTCAATAAGTTTCCATGACTAAGTAGGGATTCAAACCTCAGTTTCCCAGAGTCTTAGTCTAACAGTCTGTTTCCCAGAGTCCTAGTCTAACCATTATGTTAAGCTGGCTCTATCTTGTTTTTATGTGCCTTCAAGCTGTTTCCAACTTATGGAAATCACAAGGCAAACCTAGCACAGAGTTTTCTGGGGCTGAGAGTGTGTGACTCACCCAAGCTCACCTTGTGGATTTCCATGGCCAAGTGGGAAATCAAACCCTGGCCTCCAGAGTCGTAGCCCCATGCTCAAACCACTACACCATGCTGGTTCAGGTTCTATCCACATGTCCTCAAATATATAGGGGATTTCTCATGGCTGGTTCATGCCCATATTATATACCCCGCTTGCTTATTTGATGGTATGCCATCAAATAAGCAAGTGGGGTATATACAGTGGGTCCTTGGTATCTGCTCAGGTTTGGTTCCAGGATCCCCCGACTTGAGATTGCTCAAGTCCCATTAAACACAATGGCATATTAGAATGGTACCTCTTATATAAAATGGCAAAATCAAGGTTTGCTTTAGGAATTTATATT